TTCTCCTTGTTTTAAGATCCAAGGGGTTTGGATCTGTATTCACCAGGGAATTGGTGAAAGGTTTCTCAAAGCTTCCCAGGGAAGGGAATGGTGGCAGCGGACCAGAACTAAGCTGGTAGTTAAGCTTAGAAGGCCTCATGCAGGCCCCCACACTTGTACCCTAAAGTTCAAAGTGGGGATACAGCCTTGACAGTTACATAGGTAGTGTCTATACTGAAGCACTGCAGTGGCATTGCTGCAGTGAGATAGTTGTGCCACTGTAGCATTCTGAGTGTAGACAAGCCTTTAAACAGAGGGAGAATGGGGAAGAAAAGAAATTCAGAGTCACGGCGGCCACTCCCTCCAATCAAAGAAGCTGCTATAGTCCCGGTAGCAGTGTACAAACCAAACACTTTCACCAGAGTAGATTAGAAATGTTAATGGACTATCATTTTTAAAAAACAAAAACAATACTCCCCTCTCCCTTCCAAAAAATCCTACTGTTGTGTCTTTTGCTCTTTACACAACAAAGGTAATTAAAAGAACTACACACACACAGTGAGGTCTAAATAACAACCATGTTTACTAACTATATACCACATGCAAGGCCTAGCTACATAAATAAATGGCTGTTCTGCAGGGTTCTGAAACCTAGAAGCCAGTGAGAACCACTAGAGGTCTCAAGGTAGTTAAAAGGGATCCTATCAGTGTGTATACACTACACCTACCAAAACAAAACACACTACACTGCACACACAATTCTTCCCCGGGGAGATGATGACAGAAAGACCAACTGACATGTGAGAGATGTTAGTCATGTCACTTAGTAATGCACTGCTGGAAGGCACTCAGAGACTATGATGATGAGGGGGTGTAGAACAGAATCTGGATTTTTTTTAATGCTAAAATGATGCATATCAAGGGGCCAATCCTATTGGCTGGGGTTTTTTGGGGGTGTGTGTGTTGTTTTTAAGGTGAACCATGCTCCCTTGATTGATGAATTTGGCAATAGCTCTGTAATCTTGCAGAGCCTCTCCAGCAAGTGAGGACAATCTAGCACTTAATTTGTACTCAGTGTTTACTCAAGCTAGCTCCTATTAAAATCAATAGCCCGGAGTGTGAACTGAGTAAGCACTTTGAGATTTGGGCCCGTTGTGAACTGAAACTATGGTGTATATACAGTGCCCACATTTCACATACTTCTTAGCCATCTCAATTCATTTTGGGAGATAGGGGAGTTTGCCATTAATATCTACACCAAAGATGGAGCATCTCAAAGTATCAGCAGTTCTAGATGAAGAGTTTTGTTTTAGGCGGAAGTGGTTAAAATGTCTGAAAGAGAAGCTATTTTTTAATGTTTCTGAACATAGCTTAACTGGTTTAGCAACATTTCTCAAAGCGCAGCTGCTTCTGTGCTTGCAAATACAAGGGTGAGTCATAAACCCCTGAAAAATGGGCTTTAAAATGGAAATACCAGCTCAGATGCGACCACAGTCTTGCAAACACAATACTATCATGGCGTAAATTGAAACATGTTTAACTATTTCAATAACTGATACTTGATTGAGACTGTCATATTACCTTCAACAGACGCTGTAGGTGGAGCTTGGAAGACCAAGGATTCATTGAAGGCAAGCACAAGAGAGACAACTGTTACATTATGTGCTTGTGAAAGACTGTGAAACACCACAGATGATAGGTCACAATTACCGGCCTTGTCAGTGCCCCTTCAGGCAAGACAGTGAAAGGCAGCCTTGTCTATTGCAGTGAGTCTCAGCCTTTTTCATATTTCCACTCACTTCTATGCTATCTGGGTTCCCTCACCCCTACACCTACACATATAACAAAGGCAGGGCAGTCACCCCCCAAGATGAGAGACTCATATAGTGGTTGAAGTGGGGAGACATGAGATCTATTCCTGGATCCATCTCTGATTTGCTGTGTAAACTTTAACAAGTGGCTTAATACTATCTATCTTAGGTATGTTTGCAGCTCCCATTACCATAATATCTGAACACCACACAGCCTTTAAATATTTATTTATCCTCATAACACCTATGCAAGGCCAGAAAATACTATTCCCCCATTTTGCAGATGGGGATTGAGACAGAGAAAGAACAGATTTTAATCCAGATTTTAAAGGTATTTAGGCACCTAAAGATACACATAGGCACCTCATGGGATTTTTGAAAATGCCTACTGAAAGCAATGGGAGTAAAACACCTAGGCATTTTGAAAATCCCACTAGGCAGCTATCTGCAATCATTACGTACCTACGTGTAATAATCCAGCTTTAAGTCACTTTCCAAGGGTCACACAGGAAGTCTGCAGCGGAGAACAAAACTGATCCAGCTCTTCAAGTCCCAGCGTAGCAGCCTAGCCACTGCAACGCCCTTCCTCTGTAAATCTACATCACAGGAGTATTGTTAGCTTTAATTGATTCATTTAAAACCACCTAGATCATTGTAGAAAAAGTGCTATAGGAGTACAATTTATTACCACCCCATAGGTCACCACAGAACTGCCACTCAGATGCACCTGAGGGCAAGACTGTTCTGGACTCAGGCATCTGAAAGAGCATGGGCTGCCAACTCTGACTGAAGCAATTCCGGGAGATTTTCCCCCCAACATGAGGTAATGTCATTTTCTTAAAATATCCTATTAACATCTCCTAGATTGCTTTCAACGGCCACCGGGGCAGATCAATGGGGATTCCGGGAAACTCCAGGCCAATCCTAGAGGGTTGGCAACCTTAAGCATGTGGCAAGAGACAGACATCTGGGACTCTTTCCAACATAAGCTGGCCGGATACAACCATAGCCGGGCCCTGTCCAGGAGCAGGACTAGAGGAATCCAGTGCTAACGCCTAACGTTGAGATCAATACAATTGTTTTGCCGCTTGTCCAGGAGGCTGCTGCTGGGGTGAGCGGGGAGCCCATACTGCACCTTGCAAAGCTGTAGCAACAACACTTGGTGTCTATTGGGAGAAGGATCTTCCCAGTCCCAGCTGCGGTTCTACGCAGCTTCTCCGGACCACACTGTCCCCTTGTGCGCCAGGCGCTCCCTACACCACGCCCTTCGCGGGGATCCCTCCCTGCTTTCCTTCCCCCCCTGCGCTGGGCACTGGAGCGGGGCGGGCGGTGGCCAGCCCCGGAGGAGGCGCCTGCCCCTGGCCGGCACAGCGCGGGGCGGGGCAGGTGCTGCAGCTGGGCACCAGTGCTCGATGCACACCCTGCGGGGACGGCGGCGAGGGCAGCGACACACTTTCGCTTTGGAGGGCTTGCCCGGGCACCGCGCCGGCCGGCGGCAGCATGAGCGCAGGGCTCCTCTTCCTCCGCCTCGTCCTAGTAAGTCCCGTCTCGCCCGTGCCACGCCGCCGGGCTGTCCGGGGAGGGGGCCGGGCGGGATTCCCGCGGCTCGGGCGGTCGCTTGTCAGTCTCCCCAGGGCTGCGCCTCTAGCGAGGCCAACTTCACGGGGAATCTCCGCCCCCCTATTTGCGCCGGTGTCTCTCTCAGTAAATACGGGGTAGGGGCGCAGACAGCTGCCGGGGGGGCGATGGACAGGACCTGTCACTTCCCTCACTCTGCTGGGGTGCACAGCGCGGGACACAAACCAGCTCCCCGCCCTCCGCGAGGGGGAGCCGGGGGCTCGGCTGGTCGGGTGCAGCCCACGCAGGGAACGCAGGTAAAGTTCGATCCCTCGCTCGCTCGCTCGACTTCGACCATAAACAACGATCGTTTCTGAGAAGTGAGATCAGGTGGAGATAAAGTCCTGCCTGCTGCGTGACACAACCGCACTAAACAGAAAGTATTCCTGCTTCCTTAAGATTGGGGCCAATTGACTCAGAGACCATGTGAAGGAGACGTGGCTCGGAAATATTGTTTCCTAGAAGCGGTTTGATTTTGGGACTGTTTTATAAAGACTAGTGAAGGGAACTCCTCCGTTCACCCGTACGTTTGTCACTTTGGGTCTTTCTGGGGAGTGAAGCAATGCAGTAAAACTGAAGTCTTTCGCTCCCTGACTTGTACTTAAGTTATAAAGAACATGATGCAATAGAGGACAAACTGAATGTTTTGCAGAGTTGGTATAGGGTCCTCCTTTGGCTGGCTTACAAGTGAATTCCTAATTTTGGAGAGCTGATGTTCTATTTTTGAAAATTGACATTTGCCAACACGACACAGTTATCACATCTATTTCCCAGTATAAGAAAACTGTCCCAGCAGTTGGCAATTACTGATCCTTTAATGGTGATCCATGCAAACTGCAGACTTGAGATGAAATTAAATAATATTAATGGGCAAACTACTCTTGATATCAGTTGGGAGCCGGATTGGACCCTGAAAATGTGACATCCTCAGTTTATAAAACTTACTTATTATGGCCCCGAGCCTGCAAACACTTAAGCACATTCTTGATTTTGCTACCATGAGTAGTTCTCCTATTGAAATCAGTGAGACTGCTCAGGGTAGTAAAGTTAAACATGCCCTTAAGTATTTGCAGGACTGGGATTTATCATTCCCTTCTTCCACTCCAGGGAGATACACTGGACTTAAGACTCTTTCTCAGTGGTTCTCAAACTTTTGTACTGGTGACCGCTTTCACATAGCAAGCCTCTGAGTGCGACACCCCCTCCCCCGATAAATTAAAAACACTTTAAAATATATTTAACACCATTATAAATGCTGGCGGGGTTTGGGGTGGCGGCTGACAGCTCGCGACTCCCCATGGAATAAGCTTGCGACACCCTGCAGGGTCCCGACCCCCAGTTTGAGAACCCCTGCTCTTTCTGATGTTTCCTAGCATTTTGTCTGAGGACCATAACTGTATGAATCGTCCCTCAGTTACTGCTGTCAACTCTCTCAGCGATATGGTCTTGAATTTCACACATAAGATCTTCCCGCAGCATGGTTACATTTGGCACTGAATGATTGTTTGCGGAGCAGAGGCTAGTATTGAGATGATTGGTAGCAAAATTTTAACAGTAGATTTTATTCATCACTTGAGGGTTGCAAAATTTTGGTAATGCAGTTATGTGACTCAGTTTATACTATGGAGCCTTACAACTGTGCCACTCCACAAAACACCAAAATATAAATTAAATAGTATAGAGGATGCTTAACGTCCAAACAGCGGAAGTGTATGCTGTGTGTGTCAAAAGGGGAGAAACGCCTACAGCACACCAATTGCAGAGACGTACTCCAAATATATCACGCTTAAATAGACATAATCACAGTCAGAAATAGAAATGCATCTATATTCTGAATTTAGGTCAAACTGATAGTGGTGTAAACAAAACTTCTTCCCATCATCCCTTCCTTTAATATACACAATAGGCTGATGTTTCCGTCTAAACCAGGCTCTCTGTCAAATCCCAGTCCCATTAGCCAGAGAGGAAGTAGATCTCCCACAAACCTTTTATTCCCTCTTCCCTGATTTTTCTAACATATGATTTTACCACACTTAAAAAAAAAGAAAAAAAAAAGCCCTGCAGTATGTGTCTGGTCGATTAATTTACTTACACCAGAACATGGAAGTAGTTGGGTTTATTGGGCCTTGATCCTGCAGATGATTCCACAGAAGCAAACCCTTGTACTCATGGCACATCAGTTGCAGAAGCAGATCCTTAAGCACATAAGATCATGGTCCATCTTACCCAGTGGCCTGTACCAGAGCTTCAGAGGGAGCATACAGAACAGGGCAATTATGGAGTGATCCACCCCTATTTTTTGCTCCCATCTTTTGGTAGTTGGAGGTTTAGGATCGCCCCAAGCATGGGGCTGTGTCCCTGATAATCTTGGCTAATAGCCATCAATGGACCTATTCTCCTTGAAGTTACCCAGTCCTTTTGTGAACCCAGTGATACTTTAGCTATCACAACATCCCATGACAATGAGTTCCACCACTTAGTTGTGCGTTGCATGAAAAAGTACTTCCTCTGCTGCCTATTAATTTCATTAGGTGATGTTTGATCAGGTGTCCCTCCTTAGGCTCTTACTATTCCTTCTATGTTACCAAAAGATTAATCATAGACCTGCCCATATAAAAAGCAAAACACAGACCATTTGAAAAAACAGCTGGAGGACACTCGTACGATGATGAGTGTGGTACCAGAACCTATATAAAACTAAATTTAATAGGAACAGATTTGGGTACCTTGAAAACAGCAAACTAATACTAGCCAATAATTTTCTAGTTCATATAGTAAGATTGTGTATATAATAAGCAGCCAATTTCTGAGAATTTAGAAAAGACCTCTTAGAAGTTAAGGCCCTCACACTAAAGTGTTTGTTCCACCCATGATACTCCTTATGACTCTAATAGTGCACAGATTTGTACAGGTGCTTAAAATGAATGCACATAAATAGTCAGATTCAAGTCGACTGGATGACACGTGTAACTTGAATCTTGTCATAAGTGTTTGCATAACTGGGTCTGTATTTGCACAATATGTTTACCTATTCTACTGCGAAGATGAATTTCTGTTTTCTTCTACTTTGATGCAAGACACTGAACAACCAGGAAATGCTGAAAAGTGAACTGCAATATATTGTATACAAGAAAAAAACAGATCATAAGCTTCCCTTGAATCTTCCATTTTGACATCCGGCCACAGAGTAGCAACAATGAGATAGAAGCTGTTAGTGTTGCTGCAAGTCTTAACAATAGACAGTAACCATTAATAAATGTGCATTGAGAAAGAACTCTAAAAAATCCACAGAACACTCATGTGATACAAGGATGTGTTATTACCCCCACTGTACAGGTGGGGAAACTGAGACAAGAAATTAATGCCAACATTTTCAAATTTTATCTTGTTTGGGGGAACTGGGGTTTTAGACCCCTATGAGTCTAATTTCCAGACGCACTGAACACACACAGATCCTATTAACCTCAGCACCAAAGATACGCAGATTCTAGGGGTTTTACACCACAGTAACTCGGTTGACTTTGCAAAATTAAACTCAATTCCTCTTTCTGGCCCCGCTGGTTCTCATGACTCAAGTGCGCTGAAAACTTTGGAACATGAGGAACTGTCACTGAGTGGTTGCTTCAGTGCAGTTCACTGATAACTGTACATTTCATCTTAGTGTGAAAAAAGAATAGGATAGATGAAAGATAGCAAAAAGAGGAGGGAATGGAAAGAGAAAAATGTGCTACTGGAAACTGGACCAGAGCACAGTTGCCAACTTTCACACGGTAAATAAGCACTCTGACTTTCACAATAAGCCAAAAATTAAGCTAACCCCATTTGAAAACAAGGCCAAAACAAGCCAATCCCTAAGAACCCCAACACTCTATGTGACTAGATCCCCCCGGCGTGCAGTCTGGCACTGTGGTGGGCCCACTGTGCACCCCTGACTCTGTCCCCTCCTTGCCCCTGTTTGCCCCTTGTCCCTGCTTGCTGGGAGCTGATAAAAAAACAGAAGCAACAAGCTACAAGCCCAAAACTAGCCAACAAGCAACTCACAAGCCAATTAAGCCAAAAACAAGCCCAATTTCTGCATTTTTTCCCGTGGGTTTGGCATGTCTGGACCAGAGAGCACCTGCTATAGTAAGAAGTCTGCTTCATCTAAAAGAGTGCAAGGAAAGGATCCATTTGCCAAATAATATAAAATTACCACCTGTTTGATAGTTCCATCTTGCTAGGAGTCATGTAAGCTTTTGAATTTGCAAAAGAAAAAAATCATTAAAATAGCAAAAGGAGGATAAACTGTTCATAAAGTCATCGTTAGTGAAAGAACTACCAAGAGCAGACAAACATCAGAACATAAACGAAACTTCCCATGTCTTGCTATCCAACACCAAAGCAAGGAAATCTACTCTCGCCCTTTTTAAATTTCTTGAAAGCCCCTAATGAGCTATGTGCACTTGCTGCTGTGTGACTGATGCAAGAACAGATGGGAGGTTTTGAGTGGGTGAAAATTATGGCCCCAAATTAATAGATGCAGGAGCACGCTCCCATGTGGGGATGGGAAATCAATGAAAGAAGAGAATGGGTGACTAGAGGAAGCAGAGAATTTCTTTTAAGCAATTTACTATTTAAGCAATTGTCCATCCACTCATCTGGGTCTCACGTACAAATATTGTATGTATTATGACAATGGTAGGGTTAGATCATTATGCCCCTACATAGTGTTTCCTCTGAAGTCTTCCACTGGTGGGAACTGTTCCCCCTGTGTAAGAGACCTGAGGTATTGTCCACAAATCACATGGATCCTGGAGGAGCCACTAGGTCCTCAATGGTTCTGCCGTGGCTCTGTAGGTAGCTTGGCTCAATTGCCACACTGCCAAGGACCTCCAACTGGTGCCTGCCATTGGAACGCACTTCTATGGGTTCCCCAGTATAGAGAGGGGCTCTGAAAGAAGGTTAATGCCTGAGCAGATCAGTTGGAATTGGAACTGATAATCTGGCCCAAAGTATGATTTCTAAGGGTTTTTCTGGAGTTAGTTGCCCCTATTTATTTTGTTCCTACTGGATGTTTAGACTTTTAGTTTAAAAAATGGCATTTATTTTAGATTAGGAAAAGAACAAAAACAAGCCTCTATGAGTCATTTTAGGCTGAAAGCATACATTGTATACATCTGTTTTCATGAAAACAGATCAAAAAGCACCTATCATCCCCTTAATGCATGCATGTACCTTCAGTTATTGCCACTGAGTGATATGGGTACTACTGAGGACATGAGTGGTTTCTCAAGCGTACCATCAAATTGTGTTAACATTAGTGTTCCTTTTGTTATTAGTAATTAAATTTTAATTTCAGAGGACTGCATATCATGTGGGAGTGGCAATTCCAAGGAGAATCAAAAGAAAAAGAATAAAGTGACTCTAGGATATAAAGTAATATTGTGAAAAATTAGAATGTCACTTTGGGGATGAGGAGAAGCGAAAAAGGAAGAATATCAGATGTAGGGCAATGTATAAAGTTTCTGCGTGCCGTGCCTATGTGATGCTACTTGAAAGACAGCTCCTGAGAAGTAGTCCACACTTATTGTATTAGGAAGTACAGGATTATCTGTGGTAATGAATTGGTTATATATATGTTACTATACATTATGTTTCTGTCTTTCCCTATTGTGTCAACAAGGGGGAGAGGTGGGGCGGTTTTGGTGGTTTTGAGGAGAGTTCTGAGTTCATGCATGCACGTAGTAGAAGCTAGAAGGGTTTGTTAGTGTGGTTTCTGCATAGTTATCAGTTATTTGCTCTGCACGTGTCTGTCATTTAGAAAGTTATTATAATAACTCATTCTACCCCATTCTTTACACCTTTTTCTTTTCATGCTCATCTTGTATTTGTCCTTCACTTTCTGTCCCTAGCACTAAATGGAATTTGTAGTAACACTGTACATTTTGGCTCACTGATTCTTGCTCCACCGTACGCTCTCCCTGTATTTATCTTTCTGTTCCACACTGTATCCTCCTTTTCAAAATGACAGCTGCTGATTTGATACTCTGGCGCCGATTCTCCTCTCTCTCTCACATTGGTATCAATCAATATTACCTCCTCTGAATTGCTGGAACTGCACCTGTTACTGGTATAAAAGAGTAAAGGAGAGGAGAATCCGGCCCAGTGTGTCTGAGAATAAATATTTCTGGAACATGAACAGTTTCTCAGAGCAAGAATGTGACTTTAAGCACAGCCCTGAGCAAGGAATGATGGCTAGACTACATGCCCAAAGAACTGCTCTGAGAAGCATTGTGACTCAGAAACCCCTCTGAGTCACAGCCCTCCTGTTTGTGGACAGCATCATAATTTCCTTCAGGCCTACTGACAGTGTAGCCCCATTTACACCTGTGCGCTGCACCTGTGGTCAGGATAGCCCAAGTAGACGGATTAAGGGCATTCTGCCTCCATTTTACTTCTTTGATCCTGTGTGTAGTCCACTTCACAATGTCAGACCTGCTAACCTACAGGTTTCCCCATGGACTGTGGGTTTCCAGACCCTTCTGTAGGTCCCCTAGCAAAGCAGTCCGTCAGAGCTGCTGCAGGCGCTGGGGGACACGGACACACCCCCACACCCTGCAGTGCTCTCAGAGCACTTTTGGCTCCCAGAGCCAATCTTCTCACAGGCCTGGAAGGAGGCAATGATGCTGTCACTACGGCATCTTTGTGTAGGGTGACCCCCTGAGATATGGAACACATAGTGAGACATTGTTTCCGCCCTTTCCCCTCCCCACCTCTCCTCCAACCCTTGCTGTAGGGTACTGCTCCCACGCCTTCATCCACTCCTCTCTCAGGGTCTAGTGCTACTGTGGCCCACTCTACAAATAGCAGGAAGACAGGGTAGGAGGAAGAGTTTGAGCAATTTTCCCACACCTATAATTTTACTGTTCTCTCCTAGGTGTTTGGTTGGACTATTGGATCACAATGTGACAGTGATGTACCTCCTGCACACACTATATATGATAAGCTGTCTATAAAGAGGAATATTTCTAAAAGGGAACTTAAATGTAAAGAGGGAGAATATGCTGCAGAAAATATCTGCTGTAAGATGTGTCCACCTGGTAGGTATCATTTTAAAATAATTTATTGAAAAATAAAGAGGTGAGTGGAAATGGCCACAGGCAGAACTGCATACTGCTTGATAAATACTCTACATCAGAGGGAGTCAATAGGTGGACTGTGGGCCAAATCTGGACTGCCAGACATTTTTGAATGGACCCCGAAAATAAAAATAATTTACCCCTGCTCTACATGCTGTAGCTTCTACTGGGAGACAGTGTTATAGGGCCTTCCTCTGGCCCCCAAGTGACAGGACTACATTGGCTTCATATTTTCATTCAGAAATCCCTTGGGCACTGAAAACTGTATTCTGTGGATTGGACTCTAACCTGCTTGTATTTAAGCTGTTTCCCTAAAGATGTATATGATTATTCCATGCTATGCGAGTACTTTCACATGATCTGTTCCAAGCCCAGCTAGAATGCAGAATCGTAGAAAAACACACAAATATTTACTAAGTTCATGCCAATAACTTCCCATGGATTTCAGACAAGTCCGTGTAAGCTACTTGGATTCATAGAAAAGCACTGGGATATTTACATGCACAATTTTGAAGGAGGTAAAAAAATGCATTCATGCTCTTTTGCCCACACAACTCCGCATTTATATCAGTGAATGGGTATTTTCATTGAACAGATCATTTGTTTAGTAAATTTTCCTTCTTGTTTTTAATAGTTAGAATTTTAAATCCAACCCTATATATGCTACATTACCAAAAGACATGTATGGATTGAAACCCATATAATTTATCTGTAGCATTTAGAAAACGTTGATCCTGTCATTATTAATAAATTAGAAAGTTTAAGAGATGAAGAGAAACAGAAAATCTGAAGCAGATCTTCTAGCTGACAACTTCTAGGTATAGATACTACAACTTTCATTCTTCTTTTTGCATTTTTTTTTACAGGTTCATTTAAATTTGGTGATTGCACAAAGGACAAAAACACAACTTGTAAACCATGCATAGAAGGATCAACATACGTGAATTATGACAATTCCCTCGATAAGTGCAGAAGGTGCAGGTCATGTGACTCTGAACTTGGTATGTCTGTAAAATAGCAACTCAAGCAACAAAAACTTTCCGTAGGACAAGACTGGGGAGTTACCACAAGCTTTGAGTAAGGGGTAGCATATAGTTATGATATCCCAGGAATAGACCAGGGAGGAAATTGTGACAGAGTTACAATTTGGTCTCTGGGTCCCCTTTTCTCTGTGAGGGGGAGGGAGTATGCCGTGGCAGTGCTTTTCCTGAGCAATCGTTCAGGTGCACTGGTTGGCACTTTGAGAGGGAACAGAGTTAAGGCTCTGTCCACTCCCCACTCACCTGTGTTGGAGGGCAAGTAGAAGTTCCTCGAGATGGCTCTTTCACCCACAGTGTGACATGTGATATGGGTAGTTTACTATGACATTCCAGGGTGCAATCCAGACTAGTGAGGGGTTGTGTCACCACCTGCCTTGCAACGTTGGGTGCCTCACAATGCTATGGTGCTGTAGCTCCCAACCTGGGCCCCTCACAAACAGACAAACAGTGTGCAGGTCACACCCTGAATATCTGTTTATAGCTGCAGCCTGCCAGCAACACTCCAGTCAAACTCCAGCTCCCACTCGCCTTGGTTACCACTTGCAGGGTGGGCCCAACACATTCCCAGTCCCACATTTCCCCCCAAAACTGTGTTTTTTACTCTGTCCAGCCCTCTCCTGGACAGTTCAGGTATTATAGATCCATTTCCTCTGTAATGGGTCAAATCATAGAATCATAGGACTGGAAGGGACCTTGAGAGGTTATCTAGTCCAGTCCCCTGCACTCATGGCAGGACTAAGTATTATCTTCTAGACCATCCCTGACAGGTGTTTGTCTAACCTGCTCTTAAAAATCTCCAGTGATGGAGATTTCACAGTCTCCTTAGGCAATTTATTCCAGTGCTTAACCACCCTGACAGGAAGTTTTTCCTAATGTCCAACCTAAACCTCCCTTGCTGCAATTTAAGCCCGTCGCTTCTTGTCCTATCCTCAGAGGTTAAGAAAAACAATTTTTCTTCCTCCTCCTTGTAACAACCTTTTACGTTCTTGAAAACTGTTACAACAGTTTGCTACTTTAATTGGAGTCACCAAACAATTCAGTTTAAACACAGCACTGGATTAATTTTGATTAAAGAATAAAACAAGTTTACTTAACTACAAAGAGATGGATTCTTAAGTGAGTACAAGTATAAGGCATTAAAGTCTGAAATGACTACAAGAGAAATAAAGATAAAATGCTTTCTAGTAACTAAAAGTTAACAAACTAGACTTGGTTCAAGGTTCTTACCAAATGTTTCCAGCAACAGGGCTGACCAAGGTCTCAGGTCAGAACCCCTCCCAAAGTCCAAAGACTGCTTCTTTTGTCGTCTTAGATGAAAAAGCAAGAGAGAGAGAGTCTTTTTCTCTATTTTTTCTACCTGGGGTGTTTTTGCCCCCTCTCTTTTATAGTCCAGCCACCCTTTGAAATGCATTTTCCTCAGGGTTACTCCTAGATCAACTACCTTCCAGCTGTGGTGGTGGAGGCATGGGGTCTCGTGGTGAAAGAGGTTCCATGTTGTTTGTTAAAATGTGAATCGATTTGTTCCTGCCACCCACCTTGCGGCCAAAGTATGGCCACTTGACAGGCGATGGCCAGTCAACTTTGATGACACTTGGTTAGAGGCATCAGCTTGTCCTTTGTCTTTGGGAAACTGGTTACCCACTCCCCAAACTTGTCTGGTAAACACATGTCAGTTGTAACTTCATCTTATGTTCATAACTGTACATATAATGTCATTACGTGCATTTCACTACGATATGATTGACTAGTGCAGGGGTCGGCAACCTCTGGCACGCAGCTCGCCAGGGTAAGCACCCTGGTGGGCCGGGCCAGTTTGTTTAACTGCCGCGTTGGCAGGTTCGGCTGATCGCAGCTCCCACTTGGCCTGGGACGGCGAACCGCGGCCAGTGGGAGCCGCAATCGGCCAAACCTGCCGACGCGGCAGGTAAGCAAACTGGCCCGACCCGCCGGTGCTTACGCTGGCGAGCCGTGTGCCAGAGGTTGCCGACCCTGGACTAGTGAGTTATTAGTTTTCAAATGATACCTCACAAGGCATATTTTGTACAAAGATTGTGTAGGGTCAGAATACAGGGGTGCAGTCGGTCACACTCACCTTATGCCCCCAGAATCCCTTGTGTTGGCATTTACCTTGGCTCACAATCTGGTCCACAGTGAAAACATTTTAGATATATTCAAACATTTAGGGTGTTAACAAAGGGTACACCAAAACCAATGTTTCTATTTAATACTTTGCTTACAGAAGTTACCTTGAATCATTCCTTATGATAAAAAAAAAAAACCCCACACTAGACAATGTGAGATACAACTTAATTTTCTCACAGACACAGTTTTGAGTGTTTTAAAATGGACACACACACCCATGACACAAAGCAACCATCTGGGAGAACATAACCCTGCTCCCACTCTATCCTCACTGAAGCAGGTGTGCAGCTGCTTTTCCTCAAACTCAGAGGTGCTGCATAAGCAAGACATAGTAGAAATTTGTGCATAATATTAGAAGAGGCATTTGAGGAAGCCCGTTTGCAGGTGGCTGAGAGCGGGGCCACAAGTCACATCAAAGAGTTGAAAATCCTTAGCTTACAAAAAGTTTCCAATAAGGAATTGTTGTATGAAGTTTAAATGAATTTAAACTTCGTTTTAAAGTGATTAGAAGCTCAGGACCCTGAGCAGGGTTTTGTGCTTGATTGTGTCTGGCCCTCTGGCTGTGCAAGTGTGTGGGAGGGGGCACAAGGAGCCTTCTCTTGCAGCCACATCACAACCCTCGGTGGCTGTTGAAATTGGCATTTTTGGGTGGGGGCTGGGGTTCAGTTCCAGCAGCATGTCCTTTCCTTTAATATCTCTCGAGGTACTGACAAATGTCCCCACTCACTATCTGAGTGCCTGCCTCACCTGGGACTCAAACTGTTGCCAGCTAAAGAAAATATTTTTTAAAAGTCACCTTCAGATCTAGGTGTGTTACTGGTACTGTATGGGTATCTCGTGCTGTTATAAGATCTCTGCAGTCAGGTCAATCTTACTAGCCAATGATGGATAAAAGCTGACTTTAAATAGCAAGATCTTACTAGAAGAAAACTAAACTAGTTCAAACCAGGCCAAACAGAGTGACTCGGCACTACCCAACTTGTCTCTTTTACCCAATGTCCAGTTCAAATAAGTAGATGGACATCAGGGAACTGCACCAGAGGATGATGCCAGCAGATGATGCAGGAGATGCACAGGGAACCATTACAGAAGTGGCAACTGAATATGCAGGAGACCAGACCATTAATTATATAAAGTATCATAGAATGATGAATGAGAAAAAAACTGCCAGTATTTTGTAATGTTATATACTAGTCCCCTTCCAGCAAAGCAAGTGCTTATTGGCAGCTCTTTTTTGCAGCATTTGATTGCAGAGGACTCCTTCCTTCCCTCCTCTTCCCAGTATCACACAATCAGAAGGAGCATGTAGAAAACAATATGGTGATGCTTGGTATTATGACCAGCTCACATTGCTGCATACAGCAATAGCGCTAACAGCTCTAGGCCTGAGCATAGCATTTGCTAATGGTGCACTAAAATAGTTAGAGTACCACCTTCTTCTAATTGAAGAAAACTCTTGGGATTTATTTTAGATTTGGAAGTTGCAGAACATTGTACCGTCACTCAGGACACAAAATGCAGGTGTAAACAACACTACTTTTGCAATTCTTCTGGCCCATGTCATCATTGCGACCCATGCAGCAAGTAAGTTTGAGGTCTTTATTATTTAACTATTCAAATAGTGTGTTATTTAATGTGAATTAGCCAGACTCAGCCAGTTTGTCAATATCTATGTGGCCTCTAAGGCATTGTTTAGATTAGGAAAGAAAGATACTAGTTTTTCCAATCAATTTAGCTCACTTAACTCAGTTGAAAATCCCACATCAATGTAGACATGCTTCAACACCTGTTAGCTCCATTTGAGCGGTCAAGTTATAGCCTAACGAGGTTTTCAGTTGAATTAAGCTAGTTCTATTGAACTCATTCATTTAGAGGGAAAAGGCACTTTTTTTTCCTAGTCTGGACAAGGCCTAAAATTTTATAGGTCCCCATTTGCATGGACAGTTACCACAATTGTGTCCAAATATGTATTTGAATGCACAAATCTACACACACATTTAGAGGCCACTTTTAATAATTCCCATTCCAAGTTTTTTTGAGCTTTGTCTTTGTGTGTTCTGTTGGGGTGGATAGAAGATTATTCCATGTCAGGAGGTTATGGAATGATGGATTGGATGGGGGAGGAAGTAGAGTTGGAAGGTCTGGCAATACCAGAGGGTGACAGTCTGTAGAGGAAGAGAACTTCAGGGAAAGCAGCAGGTGCCTTTTATATTCTCTTCTGCCAAATTCCCTTGGACCCATACCTCTAATCTCCCCCCCAGGAAGTGACATCACTCATTTTAGAGAGACAAGATGGGCTAGGTAATATATTTGTCCAATAAAGGATATTGCGTAACCCATCTTGTCTATCGAATATTCTAGGGCCAACACATCTACAACAACACTGCATACATCTCATTTTAGTCACAAAGCAAGTATAGTGCATATAGATTTGGTATTCCTTCATTTACTGCATAAATTAATTTTCATCAGAAATCTAAAATTATGAAACTGAGATTTTAGAGTGATTGTGGCTGAAGGAATGAATCCCTCAGCATTTTAGTTTTCTGATATGAGTATTTTAAATCTCTGATTTTGGGTCTTTGTCACACACTGACTGCATCCCACACTGGGGCCTTGGCAGATTGAGAGATGTGTTTGTTTCCTATTCATAAACAGTCATGTAGCCCTAGTGCAACAGGCAATTCTCTGTATGTCTACACTGCAATTAGACACCCACAGCTGGCCTGTGCCATCTGATTCAGGCTAAGGAGCTCAGGCTAAGAGGCTAAAGAGGTTTGATTGCAGTGTAGAAGTTTGGGCTCAGGCTGCAGCTCAGTTTTTGGGATCCTCCCATCTCGCAGGGTCCTAGACCCAGGCTCCAGCTCTACTGTCTACAGTACACCATAGTTCAATAACCTCTTAGCCAGATTATTTTAGCCCGAGTCAGCTGACACAGGCCAGCCACAGGTGTCTAATTGTACTGTAGGCATACCCTCTGTTTCCTGCTGCATGAGTGTTTGATTACCAGCTCTGTTGTGAATAAGGCCAGCATGCTTTTCGGTTCTATCAAGGTGTGCCCTCTCCCCTCAGCTATTAATGGGTGTAGGCAATTGTGCTTTTGTTATTGGGCACCTTAATGAGTGGAACTGTTTCTGCCTTCCCAAAATCATCTCTGTCCTAATCTCTCCTTACTTTTAAAAAGCAAGTAAAAACTGTATTCCAAAGATGTTTGGGTTATTTTAGAAGGAGTGCTGTTGGTCCTTTCTTTATTGCCTTTCTCTTCACTCCTTTTTCTCTATTAGGCTCCCTCCTTTGTTTTATCACAATGCCATGTGGATGCACTCTGTAAATAGTGGTATTATCATTTACATTATGACTCATGACTTACAGGAAACTGGACAAGAATCCCTAGAGACTAAATATAACAACATTGGAGGACTAGAGAGACACTTCTTCCTCCCTACTAAATTCAAAACTGCACTTTCTTACTATATTAAAAGCCAACTGGTAACAGTGTAGGGGGCATGGATAACTTTGCCTTCTTTTCATGACAGATTGTGTTGTTTTTCTATCGTTAAATTACTATTAAATACATACACATTTTTCATATTTTCTCTAGGTGTGAAAATGGCGCAATTGAAAAAGAATGCACCCCGACCACAAATACCATATGTAAAAGTGAGAATAAATTACTTAATCTTGATATCTCTACAGGTAGAGTCAGTTGGATACAGTGGAATCAGCTATGCAATGTAGACCAGATTGTGTGCGTTAAGCCCAAGGTTGAGGCAGCGTGGAGCTGCACCACCATATAAAATGCTTCCTTGGGACACCTGGTATGCAGGGAGAGCACACACATGGCTGCACAAAGGTGGAACATGGCCTCCAGTCCATGACTGGTCAGTTCCGCTGGCTGGTGTGGCGGGGTTGCCCCTTGTAGAGTGGTTTGTACCATAGGGAACAGTAACAGGGAGCAGTCCCTGTTGGCAGGCGAGAACAGGAATAATTTGTGTGTCTTGCCCTGGCACAGGGATGTAAGGAGCAGAGAAGGAAGACTCCTTGCACCTCACTGGTCGTCTCCCCACACCGCACACATCTATACAAGGGCCTTCCACAGTCTGACCTTTATAATCCTGTGAAGGGTTCCACGTGTGTTGTTGTATTGCACTGTTTTTCTGTGCTTTGCTTTTATGTAAATTTTACAATGCTCTAAATTATCAGGAAACTTCTGGTGGATCTTGCTAGTAGTGGTTGGAATCGTAATCGCTATCGCATCATTATCAGCCGTAGCAGCATACTGTTGTAAGTTAGTCTCTTTTCTTCATCCATACTATATACTGAATTGACTACTCTACTGCTTAATTAATCATAATTCTCCTCTTTTAGATGCTCCATTTTAGCACTGATACATACTCTGTGCTGTTTTTTAAAATTCTTTGGCATGGTTTGTTTCAGACAAGAAGAAACGGCAGGATTTTGATTTGAACAATCAGATGCGGCATTGGGTTGTCCACAAACCACCCACCCCTGTAAGTATCATTGCTTAGCATGGCTGAAATTCAGCTTGGTGCACGAGGCCCACATTGGGGCTGTGTAGATTGTGGAGGCCTGTCCTCCCTTTACCCTCTGGCTTTATGTGAGGGAAGTGAACTTCATCACAGAAAGAAAGACACGTGGGGGAGAGTTCCAGGTTATTTTGCCAAGCAGTTCTGAAAAAGAGAGTGTTTTGTATAGTACAATGTATATATGGAGAACAAGAGGAAGTTTTCAAACCCTCCTGTTCCAGCTACACACACAAGCTAGGAAGGAAGTCAGGGATTTTATTCGGATCGTTCCACTCGCTCTCTGCCTGAGATAAAGTTGAAGATTTTATCCCCTAAATAGTCCTATGTTTAAACATGCATTGTTCCTTAGAATGGAAGGGGCTAGCAGTGAATGCCCAGCAGCTGAGGATAAGAAAGGACATTGTGTCATTCTGCTGTGACCCTCTCTACTCTCTCAGCCCATCTGTGAGCAGCACTGAGGGGCTCAGTTCATCCAGTTCTCTATGGCCAAAGGACAGTTGCAACACTGAGGGGACCATGAGGAAGCAGAGTGAGAGTGGGGGTCAGAAGAGTTTTCTACAGAGGACCCTGGGGGGAAAAATGTAACATATTTGCTGGCCTGACTCATTAGGGTCAGATCATTACAGAAACATGCAAAAAGCGGCCCAAAGTTTGCTGGAGGAGGAGGGGTTGAGCATCATTTCTGCCCCCTCCCCCCGATGCTTGTCTGTGGGCTGTAGACAGGAAGGGTGTGGAGCTGGGGGAAGCTACCTTCTTGCAGCAGCATCTTTCTCTTCAGCCTGGTACGGAGCTCCTCACTTAGACAAAGGATCATTTCTCTCCTAAAGAATATTCCATACATTGCTTAAGCATTCTGAATAGCTAAGATCCTGAAGTTCTTGTACTAGTCCGGTGACCCATATAGAGACCACCTTCATTTCTATTATTCAGTTTAAAATTGGCTAGTGCACTGTATTCTAAACATGGCCTGGCTACTAAAGAGAGGGGTCATGGATAAAGCTGGGAGAAAACTCCAAATTTCATGAAATTTAGCATTTTGCATAATTTGGTGTTTTAAAAAAAATTGGTAGTGGGAGCTCAACCCCACCCCCCAATAAGGTACAAAAGGGACTGTACCACTAAAAGAAGAAGGGAAGATGGGAAAAAGTGAGAAAACAACAACAACAAAATCAACAATCAAGAAAAACCGGGGGGGGGGGGGGGAAGGGCAGAGACTCTACAATCTGCAGGGCCTCCTTTACACTTTTTTCTTTATCTGTTTCCAGGAAATGGAGCATCTCGTGTACCCAGGTATGAAATAACATTTTACTTTCTCTATAGGAATGGTGAGAAATATGGTTTAGAAACCATATGCAAGAATATATGCTTTGTTCAGTTTAATGCCAGGTCAGTCTCTGTTTTGAAAAGCTGTCACTCCTCACTGATTTGTAGCTCTCCTTATTAAATAAATGTCTGTTATGGAAACAACCCTGCAGTCCTGATTAAGACAACTCTCATTGTTTTTAAATCAAAGAAAGTTTTGCCTCGGTAAGGGCTGCAGACCCTATGTTACTTGATACATGTTAGCAGGAATTAGTTACTGAAAAACCCAAAATGTTTCTGCTTGGATAAGCACCCAACTGTTTTCCTGCTTGTTAAAAAATTGTGAGTATATGCAAATTTTTGAAGACTTTGTCCCACAGGACTCCCTAACTAGGAAACCCACTACTGGTTCAGTAGATCCACTGGCAAGCTTGTTGCCGGATCTCAGGTATTCATATATTCTAATCTCCTGGACGCTGCAGCTTCCAAAGCCAAAGACATTCACCCTGTATTACAGATAATGTAGTATTGAAATGTAGTCGTACGCAAAGCCCAGAAGATAGGCTTCTAGACCCTGAACTGTCAAGTGCATGAGTCAAGCAATGGAAGTATCATCACAGAGAGATTCAGGGCCCAGCTAAGAGGATGCCAGAGGTGCTTGCCTGCTTAACATGACATTCATACATTTGGTGATGGGAGGAAGGGAAGAAGAAAGGGTCCTATAGAAAGATTTGAGGGCTTATTTGAAGTCACAGGACGGGGATATGGGTCCATACCTGAACGTTTGAATTTTCTAACATAAGGGAAAGTGTAGCATGTTGATCCATTCCTACTATGAATTTCCCTGTAAAAGTATCAGAGGGGTAGCCGTGTTAGTCTGAATCTGTAAAAAGCAACAGAGGGTCCTGTGGCACCTTTAAGACTAACAGAAGTATTGGGAGCATAAGCTTTCGTGGGTAAGAACCTCACTTCTTCTTCTTCTTCACAGACTTGCATCTGAAGAAGTGAGGTTCTTACCCACAAAAGCTTATGCTCCCAATACTTCTGTTAGTCTTAAAGGTGCCACAGGACCCTCTGTTGCTTTTTCCCTGTAAAAGACTCTCTCGCTCTCTCATTTGGCTTGAAACTTCATCTGTTTTGAATATTTAAAACATGAGAAAGATCAGTAAAATACTAGTGCCATGAGTTTGTGTTTTCAAATGTTATTTGTATTGTCAGATGTTGACCTGAGCACCTACATTCCTGCTATTGTGGAGGAGATGACACTAACACAAGTCAAGAATTTTGTTCGGAGGCATGAAATCCCAGAACCTGCCATAGAGCAGACTGTCCAGGACCATTTAAATGATTCAACTGAGCAGAAAATCAAATTGTTCCATATCTGGTATCAACATCATGGAATGAAGGGGGCTTATGGAAATTTGATCGTCAGTCTGAGAAAATTTAATATGCGTACTGTTGCTGATAAAATTGAGAAAAAACTGAATGTAGTCACTTCCAGCAGTCAAGAAAACGGAAGATCAAATATCAATACTGCTGAGCAAAGCAGTGCCCTTTCTGATGGACATAATGTGTAGTCAGCAGAAAAATATTTCTAAACTGGTAAGTATTATTTTTATGTTGTAAATAACAAAGTTTTCGAAGACCGTTTCCTTCAGCATTTCTACCTGATTAAAGAAGAGGTGAGTGAACAAGCACAGACAGCATGGCTAACTTCTGGAAACGCATCGATGTGCTCTTCAAAGATTGAGATTTTCCTATTCTTTGTAAAGGACTGGGAACAGAGATTCTGGGAAGCAGTGACTAAAAAAGCAACAATATAGGAGTTCATGCAGAGGACCCACAATGCTTCTGTGTCACACACAAAAAAGTCAGCCAACATTTTGGATTGAAGCTTTAGTTAAGGATTTATGGTCTCAGACAATGGATGATCTTTGTGTTTACTTATGCTGAAATTATGGTTTATAGCTATTTTCCTTATGTAAAAGAATGACAACTCTGGTGTTATGTTTACAATATTTTCAGCAAACATACTTAGGGAAAAAAGGATTTCAATTCTTATTTTAAATGTAAAGACTAACTTTAATGTACTCTGTAAACATGTTAAAGATTTACTCATATGCGAAATCCCATTTAAAGTCAGTGGGGCTATTCACTTGTGTAAGTATTTGCAAGATGAATATACTTGTTTTTATAGATTACTTTGAATGGTACTTTCAGTTGTGAAAGCATATGCACATGTACATATTTCATGAAGGGCCCCAAACTAACCTCAGATGTGTGGGTGCAGCTTATTGCCTTCTACAATAATCATGATGGTCCTTTCTGGTCTTAAAAGAAATCCATGAAATGAAATGGGATCTGTGCCTGTATATCTGAAGGACAGAACTGGGTCCTCAATTTTTAAAGGTCTGTCATACCAGCTGTGATCTCTCCAAGGCCCAAATGTTTGATACTAGCTTTTCTAATGCAAAGATTTAAAGTAAGACACAAGCAGCAATAAAAGAAGAGCTTGAAATAGTGTATGGTTCTTTCCTTTAATTTGTATAAATTGGCCTATAATAACCTCAGTTTCAAGATTTCAGATTCGTAGTATCAGTAAACCACAGGAATGAAAACTGAGAACTCCATTCATCTCAGGACCATATGAAGCCCAGAAAGCTGTGCACCAGACCAATCTATTCAGCATGACTGGGCTGCCACATAGTTTATCAACCTCCAAAAGAATCTAGAGAACTGCAGGGCTACTCCGTGGAAAGAAAGGTTAATCTGTAAGCCCATGTTAGTGTCCTACTTCCTATGAACCAAAATTTCCTGTGCTGGACCTATTTCCTTTTCTCCTTCTCTCTCCCGGGTCCCTTATATAGCTCCACGAGAAAGTGAGGTGAAAATATTTGCTACACTGTATCACATCATTTCTCCATCATGTTAATTTTCTTGCATCCAGGTGCAGCTGGCTGAAAAGAAAAGTAGTTACCTGGGCTGATTGTAGAGAGAAGTCTCCCATCTCTCATGACTCCTGTGGAGGGCTCCGCCTCATCACTGAAGTCTGGGGACTGTCTTTCCCCCTCCACTCACTGATTCCATGCAGCTCATTGGTAGTCTCATTAGAATTTTTAGGTTGATGAACGCTGCTCTTCTTCCTGACTGAGATTTTCCGGTCACATGATGCCTTTACTATTTTTTCTTTGACTCACTGCCTCTCAGTCCTCCAGCAGTAACTCCATTAGTCACACTCAGTGCACCGCCTAACACTGCTTCCATGAGCCACATTGCTACTAACAGCTCTTTGGCTACTCAAAGAGTATGGGCCCGTTTCTCCCCAGTCTGCACCTTGTGCCTTTGCACCCATGAAGTCATTTACACCTATGGTAAGTGGTTGTAAACAGAAAAGTAGCACTTTGCCCAAGTTAAATGACTACAAGGGTGCAAGGCAAAGGAGCATCAGGTGCTGTGAATCAACTACAGGGCAGGCTTGAGCAGCTGTGTAATGCTGAGACCAGTATTAGGTGTCTGCTACTAATGATCACGCTACTAGTGAAATACAGTAAATCTTCCAGGATTGCATGACCTGGGAGGGCTGTGAAGGAAAGATTGACCTGAATGGATCCCAGTGCTAAAGCCAGGTTTGTGTGAAACAGATAAATTTGAATTTAAAATGCGAGACAATCCTCTCAATAAGATACATTTGAGAAAGTTCAGCCATTCATGGTTCTGTCCATGGAGTTTTTATGGCTATAGAGCCTGCACCTAGTTTAGGATCCACAACTACACCTCAATTCTTACATGGAACACGCATGCTGCACTTTTGGAAACATCTCTTGACATGCGTGGAGCAAGACTTCACATCTAGTACATGCTTATACATTCAAAATGACCAACCCATATGTATTAATGCCAATCAGCATGCTGATGTCAGAGACAGAGTGCCAAAATGCTCACAATCTTCCTCCCTTCATAGGAACCTCAAGTAGCCCTCTACTAATTGCAATGATAGCTCGGAGACAGGTGATCTAACTTCTGTGTTCTGTATGTTGCACATGATCGGAAGAGTTGCTGGAGCTGAACGGCACTGCCTGGCACGCTGATACTATATGAATAATTAGTAATAAGTAACAAGATTGTTTGCCTTTGTCTGTGTACAGATCTCACACCCCCTGGGGCTGATTATTTCCCCCACTGCAGCCCTCTTATGCTGCTCCACTGCCATAAAGGGGATGGAATGACCTCCTGGGAATTCCCCAATGCCGGGGTAGGATATGGCTAGTATGGACTGTGCTACGCTACATTCCTATGTAGTCCCTGTGTAGGTGGAGGAGGAGAAGGAGGGAGAGAGTGTGGCCGAACATTCTGTAATCTGCCATGCCAACCCCTAGAGCAGGCCAGAATTAGAGAAGTACAAGAAGTAGCTTAAAGGCACATCTACATCTCCTCCTCGTGGGCTCTCATTCTGGCTTCGCTTATGAGGAGGTGCAGCACAGGCTATGGCCTCTTTTTATTGACCAGTGCAAGTTATGAGTGCCCATTTCTTAAGGCCTGAGTGGGTCACACAGCTTGTCCAGTTTGGAACAGGGGGACCTTAAAATGAACTTCTTACATTTGTAGTAGTGAACTCTAGTGTGAAATTGTGTCTAGATACATTGGAATTTCCCAAAAAAGCACTGTCAGAAGGACTGTTTAAAACAAAAAGCCCCCGAGGAGTGAGTCATATTTTCCCTCTGAGAAGTCTGCAGATCTGAACCCAGAATACTGTTAAGCCTGGTAGTCATTACTCTTTCATTTTTTTAAACTGCAACATGATGCTGCCACAGATAGAGTGACTATACTAGCAGAGTGGTGGTGGGGTTTGTAACAATTCTAGTTACACCTTAAGACACCTTTCACCCCAAAGGATAATGGCTATATCATGCATGGAGACAGACATTCAAAATGCCTCTCTTCTGAGCATTGGGTAGGCCTCAGAGCAGACTGGGAAGAGTTAAAGGAGAGCAACAGAAAGGATAGAATGTTTGGAAAATGAAACCTACTATGTATGGAAAGCTTAGAGAACCGAATGTGTTCAAGCTAAAGGAAAGCAGATAGGAAGGAGAAACTGAAACTGTACATGCATAAAGTGACTCAACATGTGCAGACAAATTATGAAAGGAAACTGTTGTGAGGAGACAAACTCTGCAAAAACGTATTTAAAAAAAATCAGCGTTGAATCTTGTTCAAACACTTTCCTGGAGAAATCAGTATTTTCAAAATCCTCCCCACTGCTGGAGCCTTTCACTGTGGCAATGCAAGACTCTGGCAGGGGGTGGGCAGTGGAGGAAGGTTCAGCCTTTCCCCACTGTCCACACCCTGCCAGAACCTTTCCCTGCTGCTGGTCTTTCCCTGCTTCAGGGGAAGACTCCAGCGGTGAGGAGGCAGCAGGACACTACACTGCTAAAAACAGCAGTGGAGACAGGAAGGCAATGTGTGGGGAGTAGAGAGGCGTGTAGGGTATATACTCGGGTACATAGCCACACCCTGCAGGCATGTCTGTACTTGCCTACGCCTTGCCTCACAGTCTATGCTGCTAGTTACCTCCATGCTAGGGGAGGTCTACGTGTATGTACACTGCATCAGGGGTTCTCAACCTTTTTCTTTCTGAGGCAGCCCCAACATGCTATAAAAGCTCCACGGCCCACCTGTTCCACAACAACTCAGTTTCTGCATATCCAGTAGATTAAAAGCCAGGGCTGGCATTAGGGGGTAGCAAGCAAGGCAATTGCCTGGGGCCCTATGCCACAGGGGACCTGCAAAGCTAAGTTGTTTGAGCTTCAGCTTCAGCCCAAGGCTGTGGAGCTCGGGCTTCAACTTCAGCCCCAGTGAGTCGAACACCTGCCCTACTCTCTGGTTTATTTTGATGTTTCCTCTGAAACCTGCTCACGGCCCCCTAGTGGGCCCGAGACCGCTGGATGAGAACCACTGCACTACATGCCGCTGAAAGAAGCGTGTAGTGGAGATGTACCCTACAGCACCACAATGGTGCGCGGTATTCTGAAGGGAGACAGACATGGTAAAAAGGATCAGTTTTCACTACCCAATTAATTATTTTCTATGTCTCAATCAAGTCTCTTTTACGCTTGTTTTTCTTCCAGTTTTTGTAGTTGTTCCTACCACTCTGCAAACTATTTTGATTTCCAAATCAGGCTGAGTTAAAATACCATAAGAAAAAAGGCAATTTTCTGGGTTTTTTTGTTCAATGGAAACAAAATACCATCTTTTCCCACAGACAATTAGATTTGTCTCCTGTTTTATTCTTAAATTTAATTGCCCAGCAGATGGCAATGTGTACCAAGATTTTCCATACCACTGATACTGGATTTCCCGCTGATCCTCTGACACTACAATTACAAGACTTCAGACTGTTCTCCTCTTTTCACCCCTGACATGGGAAATTCCACAAGCACACAATGCTGGTATTATGGTAGAACTTTTCCTCTTCCTGCAAGTTTTTCTGTAGAGGAAAGGATTTGTCCCCGTCAGGAAGTTTTCCTGATATTCAGCTTAAGTTTTCTTTTTAATTTCATTCCATTCCAGTTTGAGACCCTCAGGTCTTGTCTTCACTACCGCGCTATATTAGCGCAGCTGCATTGATGCAGCTGCCCCGATCTAGCACATCTGGTGAAGACGCACTATGTCAACCGGAGAGCGCTCTCCCATCAACGTAATTACTCCACCTCAACGAGAGGCCACCGACATAGCACAGTGTGGACATCATTTTAAGTTGATATAACTTACGTAGCTCAGGGGGGTGACTTTTTCACACTCCTGAGTGACATAAGTTATATCGACTTAAGCGGTAGTGTAGACAAACCCTTAGTCTGACAACTGTCCTTCAGGGAGTGAATTAGAATTTGATATTTTGGTATCATTCTTCAATAGGATTCACTCTGCTGAGTAGAAGATCCGGCTCAACAAGTGGAATTTTAAGATCCCAGGACTATGCTTCTAATCAGACCTCCTTGCACACACTAAATAATTCCTCTCCCTCTTCTTTGTACCTGTAGACGGCCACACATCCCTCCCTGAGTCATCACCAAGTTGAGCTAAACTCACTAAATTCTTAATATCTACTCATGAATCAGTTGCTGTAGGTCCCTCATTTTTATTGAGCTTCTTTGAGCTCCAAATTGTCTGCCTCCATTTAATATAATGCTTATGCCTATCATTGTTAATTGACTAATTAATATTCAGTAAACTTCCAAAGGGTGATGTATTATTCCATTTTGTAGATGGGGAAACTAAAGCAGATATAAACTGACTTACCTGAGGCCACCTAACTGCCAAGCATTCCCCTGGCATAATGGACTCTTTCATGAGCACATAGCCAGCTCTACACCAACCCCTCTCAGCCCTCACCTCAAAGCAGTGGGTACCTGCTTGTATGTGTGCATTACAATAGAGTCCTGATACACATTCACATAAGCAATAAAAACATCGGTGCTTACATTTAAAAAAATAGTTTGGACTCTCTCCAGCAGAAAGGAG